ACCGCTGAGGGAGATGACCTCTACTCTGGCTGCTGCGGTGACCTGTGCGCTGACCTCTGCTTTGACCTCTGAGAGGTGACCTCTGCTCTGACCCCTGTCGCCGACGGCTCTAGTCGCCCGGTCTGCTCCGGGAAGGTGATATCGACTGACCACGTCACCGGGGGGCGTCGACGGTCTGCAATCGCCGGGCCGTATCGACCTGGCCCAGTTTAACAGGTGTGGCACCCGGTACACAGAACCGGTGCACGAAATTAGAGTATCTGCATTCTGCATGCTACTGATTCGAACGTGCTTAGTTCGAGCAAAGCGAGTGATCACCGGGAGTTACGGAAGATGTTCTTACTCGGTGTGGGACTCGCTTTATGATGCTGGCACCTGGCAGTTCTGAGGTCCCTCGTTTTGCACATGCCACCTTTTCTACGGAGGGGGGGGGGAGGGCGTGTCTGATTTTGGGGAAGGGAAATTGTCCATGTTTAGGGGCGGAATGAGGGTCCGCTGATATGTGTGTGGGGGGGGGGGGGGAGTGAGGTGTGTGTCCGTTTTGGGGATGGTGGAGGGTTCAGTCCGTTTCATGGGGACGGGAAGGGCTATGGTGGCCGGGCACCCAGCTGCGCATTTCACACAGTGAACAAGCGTGATAGCTGGGGGGAGGGGGCATCTGCGTCGAGAGGGGCTCCGTTGACTGTTTTCACAAGCGATAAATGCGATAGTGTTAAAGGGACCCTCCCACCTTAACATTAGATTTGAGTTGAGATAGCCAAAATGGGGTCCCTGGCTCACAAGTACCGGTTTCGGCACTCACAACATCGAGAAATGCCTTAAATCAGAAATATTGAATTTCAAAATTGCAGCATTTTGATTCAGAGGGGCTAATGCTTAGGAATACCCCTCTGAATGTGTGACGTCAGCGCAGATATCTAACGATTTTTAAATGTTTGACTAAAACGTTTTGTAGCACGCGGTGGTATATGCTATTTGCGCGCAACATCTGCCGCAAACGCCGCACTTCTAAAATAAAGTCGCTAGAAACAGCGGAGATCCCAAAAAAGTAAACAAAAGTAAAAGTCTAATATCTTGAAAACCGGTGAATATTTTTTCGTTGAAATTTGGTAGATATTCGTTTTCGCTCTTTGTGAACCGAGCGACATCACTTTCATGCCAATTCATAAACTTTTTTGAAGGTGGGAGGGTCCCTTTAATGCGCGTGTTGAACATTGTGCGCTGATATAGATTTTGCAACAGTGATTGGTTAACAGGTTGATATATTTTAGGGCCTTGGGTTAATCGATGCCACTGCATTTCGCAAGACACGGACTCAGTGCTGTACCTTTCATTATCGCAATTCTAGCTACTCGGGGTCATATAACTCGCATTAAAAAGGCCACGGCGTCCCTTCCAGCAGACCGGGTGACATGGCCCGGTGAGCCGTTCCGCTTCTGGACTATCATCCTGCGGTGTTTGTTTGTGTTTGAGTCACGGGTCGCTGCACGGAGGGCAGAGTCGGGAGCGTCAGAACGGCCGACGGTTCACGGGTCCCGCTGCCACTGCTGTCACCTAATCTGTGCCACACCGAGGAGCCCAGCAACTATAAGTGCGAGGGACGAGGAAGATTGTAACTGCCTCACAGAGCCCAGCGATTTCGGAGCTGAAGCAGTGTCAGCCCGCTGCCACTGTATCTGGTCACCTCAGACCAGTGCCGTCCAGTGGCCAGCCATCAGAAGGTGTGTCACTGCCCGCTGGGGGCCTGTCGCGGCCGTCTGCGGTGTGTCGGGGGTGTCGGCGCCGGCGCCCGGCGCCAGTTTCGGGTCCGCCACCGTCCCCACTGGCCCGGGCCAGTCACATTCTCCGAGTGTGAGCTCACACCATGATGTCACGGCCGGCCGCAGCGTCCCAGTCCGCCGGCCCTCTGCGCCTCCCGGGCTGCTGCAGCTCTCAGGAGGGGCGAGACGCAGCTCTCAGGAGGGGTGAGATGCAGCTCTCAGGAGGGGTGAGATACAGCAGAAGGGGTGAGGCGCAGGACTTAGGAGTAGCGAGATGCAGCTCTAAGAGGGGCTGTAGTTTATTTTAGTGTATAGTTTATTATGATGGGTTGTAGTTGTCTCAGAAGGACAATCTACAGATCTGAAAGTAAAGGAGGAGCGAGGTGCCGTTCTCAAGAGTAGGAAGAGTATCTATCTCGCCCTTAGTCCCTAGCAGCTCTCAGGGCTGTGGTTTTGAGCCTTGAGGAGGGGCTGCTGCAGCCCTGATAGCGACGAGGTGAGGTGGCGCCTAGACCGCCTGTTATGTAGTCGCCAAGGCTCAACTTCCTTTGCTCTTTGAACGCTTGCTCGCATTGTTGTTCCCTTTTAGTTGCATTGTATTCTGGGTCCATGAAGCCTGTATTTTGCAGCCTGATACAACTACAAGGTCAAGTGCAGCTAGTTGATGTTTTCATTCCAAATGAGCATGTGTAAGCGCGCCCTCCGAATCGTTCGTGCTCCACCGCACTTCAAGGAGCTTCCTGAGTGTGACGCACTGCAGACAGTGGAGGGCGAAAGTCCTCTCAGTGCTGTGTAATTTTCATAGAGCTGTGGTGGGTCGCTCCTGGAATGGCTCCTCCTGAAGTCGCCTATCGTCTGTCTTTACTGTTGACCACTGACCAGCTAAGTGACGGCAATATTTCGACAGCATTTCGCAAGATGCAGCGAAGCGGCTGAAATGCAGGCTGAAGGTTATCACGATTCTTAAACATGCTTCCGAGGTGGTGATGATGAGCATCACTGGGATTTTTCTCGCCCGCCGACTTTTTAATTCCTCCGGCCGGTGATGCCTCTCGCTTAGGAGCCTTGAAACGCGATTTGCTGCTCACCGTCCATTAAAGCTTATTGATGCTATCGGACGGTGGATTTTTTAGAAGAGCTTGGACAGTGCGTATTCTACAAGATGTAAGCTGAATAAAGAATGATGAATATGCTAGGCACTTCTGCGATTTGCGCACTTGTGTCAAGCGATTACTTTAGACAGTCTGACTTGAGCAAGATGAAATCAACCCACCTCGCCGTCCGCTGGCCCGGAAAGGCGACTGAAGCCGAGTCTGATTGTCCAGACAGATACCAGCGGACATTCCCTGACTATTTTACATACAATTCCGGCTATCTTTTGCCGATGAGAAATCCCTCGGAGCCGATCGACCGTCCTCGTGCGCAGCGGCGAGCGTATCACCTTTTTTAGCAGCGTCACAGCTAGCATGGCCACAGAGCGGCCTCGAGGTGGCTTGCCTGAGCTCCCCCTCTAGTGGCGGGGCTGTGGGCTGCTGTGGGCCGTCCCCGGTAGTGCCGAGGTCAGGTCGGGTGGCTGTGCGCCGCGTCAGCCGTTTTACCACACTGCGGCTGACTGTATGTCTATTGTCCGAGGGTGCTGTTTTGGGCGGTAGTTGAGCGGGCTCAGCAGCTGCCGCAGCTTCACAGCATAGCGAGCAGTTCGGAGGCGACTCTGAGCCAGCGTGGGTGGCTTCTGAGTCGGCTGAGATCCCGGGCGCGCCTTGCGCCGCCAGGGAGGCGCGTCTGCTAAACGGCGTGTCAACGCCGACCGGCCGCTCCACCCTCCCGGCACGGCGGCTCCGCCCGCGAGCAGGCCCTCGGCCAGCCCCCGTCTCAGAGGCCGCCACCGACGGTGAAAGATGCGCCGACAGCTGGTGACGTCACTGGCTACGAGTGACGTCATTTGTGGTCGCAGACGTATCCAAGGTGACATGGTGTAAACCGCGCCTCTCCCAGGTGGCCAGCTGGTGGCTCCTGCTCGGCTACTAGAGCTGTGTGGTTTATTGTTTACCACCAGATGAAACCATCGTCCACCCATCCGAGGATCCGTGTTGCCGTCTGCGCTCGTGATGGCGCGCCCGGTAGTTGCTCGTGGGTGACGCCATCTCTCGGCAGTCTGAGCTCGGTCTGTTTGTAGATATAAAACTTTATCGGAATTCACTGGGATTGTATTGCGTATGCAAGTCCAAATATTTCGGCCAATATTGTTTGGCCTTGGTCACTGGACAACTAGAATAACCCTATGAATAACCCTAGGGTTATTCTAGTTGTCCAGTGACCAAGGCCAAACAATATTGCCCGAAATATTTGGACTTGCATACGCAATACAATCCCAGTGAATTCCGATAAAGTTTTATATCTACAAACATAAACCTGGGAAAAAATATGACTCTAAAACAGCACATATCGGTCTGTTTACTGAGAGTGCAGCAGGTGGCCGCTGACTGGCGTCAGACGTCCGTCAGTGCGCTCAGCTCAGCTCAGCTCAGCTCAGCTCACCTCAGCTCAGCTCAGCCCGGCGGTCTGAGCTGAGCGGGACCCACAGCGAAGCCGCGCGGCGCGGGGAGAGACGAGATAGGAGATGCAAGGACGGCTGATGCCACCGCAGTTGCATGTTTTCGCTCGTTGTTTACCGAGCAGCGCCGTCGTCGCCGGTGGTCCGACGTCCGCCACGTCGATCGTCGTAAAGATCACGTCATCATCGATGAGCTAAACGTGGTGATAGTGGCCGCTTTGTTTTGACTAGCTATGATTTAGTGCCTACTGGTTGACTGTGGAAGTGGAGAAGGAGACGATAGCGCTTCTTTGGTTACCGTTTATGGAGTGTTCGCAGAATGGGTGCCGGGTGGTATTCCTAGTACTAACACTTTTCAGCGAGGCAACATGAAGAAAGTTCGGGGTAATATTGGTCCGGAAGCTTTAGTTGTCGTATCTTGAATGCTGGAAGTGATAGGGGGATGAGTATCGTCGTTGTATCAACTGATAAGCTGCTAATAACGACAGCTGCTGCATGCCCATTGCCCAGGCCCTCAGATTTTCCATTACGGATGCCGGACTTGCCGACTGATCCGGCCCAGGCTGGAGACGGTCAGATTGCACTGATTCACTGTTGCTTCCCTGCTATCTCTGCCCTTCGCCACATCCCTTTTCCGCTACCAGTATCGCACCGGCGTCTCACCACTGCGCTCCTTGTGTCCTCAGGCACGAAGAAGATGGAGTACAAGACGCGCCAGTGGCACGAGAAGTGTTTCGCGTGCTGCGTGTGCCAGACGCCGATTGGCACCAAGTCGTTCATCCCTCGCGAGCAGGAGATCTACTGCACGGGCTGCTACGAGGAGAAGTTCGCCACCCGTTGCATCAAGTGCGACAAGGTCAGTCGAGGCGCGAGAGTGGGGCTCATCGGACTGTTAAGTTCGGTGTCGATAAGTGTCGATAAGGCTTAGATGAGAAAGGGTAGGGTAGGCAATAGGCATGAAACTAGCGATGTTTTTGAAATGCATACAGGCATGCCCACCTGCCGTTCCAGTGCGGCTTTAAGCGCGCCGCGTTGTTTTCGGCGAGCTCTAGTACGTTGTTTTTACGCTGGCTCTGGTCGTCTGATCGGCCTTCAGACCAGATGCAGTATGCATAGTGCATTAATCGTCCCGGCCAGCCTGGCCGGTGCCCCGCGTGTCTCCTGTTTTGATCAGAGGTCCCCGGTGCCGTGTGTGACGGTATGATGTCCCCACTAACCGCCCGGTGTGCGGCCGATCCTATCGGAGACACAGTCCACGCGGCGTGCTGGCCTGTTTTGATACTGCTCTCAAAAACAGACCTATTCGTCCAGTAGAATACCAATGTCCAAAGATGTATACCGTGCGAAGTCTGAGGATGCTTACCAGTGCCGTGTTTGCCCCCTTGCCTTCAATGATAGCTTGCCAGTGTCTAGACGCGTCTTATCATGCAGAACGGTTGCATCATGTTTGCATAGGCATTAATAATCAGTACACTTTTATAAATCATAGCAGATGTATTGAGGACTATAGTCCATTTTTTTTCAAAAGGCTCATGGCCCGAAGCATTATTTTGGAGTTGGCACGTGCGAGACGCTAGAAGATAACGCAAGCTGAGATGAATTTCTCGGCCATTTTTGAAAGATAAGCACAGTGCAACGGAGCAAGTTGTTCAATTCGATAGGCGTTATCACAAGTGTATTCGCGGCCATTGGGGCGACGTAAGAAAAGAAGAAAACAACTGGCCCCAAGAACTTTAAATTATCAAATAGCATGCACCTTTTCCTTGATATGTAGAGAATTTATCATTAATTGTTAGAGAAAATTGCATTTAAAATCTTCCATTTATGCTTTTTTCATCGTTTGCACAGTATGTTCTTTTACTAAGCTAGAAACACTAATTAGAAATAGTTCCCGCATCATCAAGAACAATAGGGAAGGCTTGAAGTGAATACAATAATCTAAACGGTTTTGTAATCCATGAGAAGACACTTCTAAAATTGCCAGTAGAAATATTAAAGGCAAAAGTTCAACTTTTTCACAAGACGGATGGCTATTAACCTATTCAACGTGTGACAACCCAGCCGGTATTTCGTCGCCTACAGCCCAGCTTTCCTTAGTGACCGATAGAGGCGCTGCTATCGATGTCCGCCCGTGCCGCCTAACGTTAGCTTATAAATCGTGTCATATTGCAGAATGTTAGTAAATTCATATATTTGAGCGGTTGAGCCATTCTGTTGAATTTGCATGCTAATCTAACGTCACTCCTAGATTAACCTTGATTCCACAGCCAGGCCATCACTTGAGAAATAACAAGCGGCAAATCCTTAAATAATCAAGACAGAACAATATTTTTTTGCTACAAGGCTCTGTCGGGCGCCAGAATTCTGAACGGCAGGCTCACTCATCATGCCATTGTTAGCTGCTGAAGCTGGTGACGTTCCACATTGTTGTCTTACATTGTGTTCTCGTATGCTACGTACAAACTTCAGTAGTCTTTTTATGAGTCTTTCCAGATTTAGTAGGCGCATACCCGACTTCTTCCCAATGCAGGAATCGATCGATCAACATTGTACTAGATCGGCAGATATGCTGGCTCATGTTTCTTTTTGTACTCAACAGAAATAAACGTAAAACAAAATGCCAATCCGTGTGTTACTTTTGTAGGTCTGCAAACAAGTCATCCACGTAATCATCTGAATCATTTGTTTAGTGCCTATGGCTAGACCCCGTGTGGAAGCATTTTCGATTCACAGTTCCTCATTATGAGTCGTATATGTATATACTTCTCTCAAAACTATCGCAAATCAGAGACCAGCCGACCAGTCTGATTTCGAAACGTGCCAAGCCGGTGTTCGTTGAATTCTGTCAAAACCATCACTTTGCACGTGATAATTCTAAAATCGATTTTCGGGCCGTGCGCCTTTTGAAATAAAATGGACTTTAAGCGTATTTGATGTGTACTTACGAGCTACAGTACTTATGAATGAGCTAGCAATCGTCGATGCACCATGACTGATCGTATCACTTCTAATGCCCCTCCCTGTTGAGGCTGGATTATACGCAGCCACACTCTTCCAGTCACACACCGGGTCCGGTCCTGACCTGACCCACGTCTGACCCCCCCCCCCCCCCCTGTCCCCCAGATCATCACCACTGGCGGTGTGACCTACAAGCAGCAGCCGTGGCACCGTGAGTGCTTCACCTGCACCAACTGCAACACCAGCCTGGCCGGCCAGCGATTCACCAGTCGTGACGAGAAGCCCTACTGCGCCGACTGCTTCGGCGAGCTGTTTGCCAAGCGGTGCACCGCCTGCTCCAAGCCCATCACCGGTACGTAACGCCCTCGGGGGCCGTTAGGGGAGGGATGGGAGTGGTTAGACGTTTTAGGATTTTCCTAAGATTTGGTTATATCAGCATGCCGTAGATCATATGCAAGTATCCCATGACATTTGCGAGACGTTCCAACTATTCAAATTTTATTGGTTGTTATCGGTTTGGTCGTGCACCTCCGTATATGGAGGTCTACACTCATACAGAGTTCTATGGTTTGTCGATATTCAGTGATGCCTGCTTTGATCTCAGCTCGGCGTTGCTCCCTGCTATTTTGTTTGTTTTGTTGGGTTAGGCCCTTTCGGTCCATTTAGACCATTTCAGAGCCGGAAGGATGATAGGAATTAGGGGGAGACATTGGTCTGGGCAGGCACCCTAGTGAGTCACCGGGGCTGAGCCCATCCCGGAAGACAGGCCGACCAGCCCCAAGGTACTCACTGCACCCGGCTACGGGGTGCGCTCCCTCGGGAGCAGCGGTGCCGCTCCAAGGGAGCAGCCCGCATGAGATAAAGTTGCCTGTCCAGCCCGGAGGGGGGTTGCGGCGTGGAGGAGAAAGATTTCCGTATCCTGAGGATAGAAGCATGGAACGGTTGCTCCCTGCTATTTTTTGTTTGTTTTGTTGGGTTAGGCCCTTTCGGTCGACAAGACCATTGCAGAGCCGGAAGGATGATAGGAATTAGGGGGAGACATTGGTCTGGGCAGGCACCCTAGTGAGTCGCCGGGGCTGAGCCCGTCCAGAGGACAGGCCACCCAGCCCCAAGGCACTCACTGCACCCGGCTACGGGGTGCGCTCCCTCGGGAGCAGCGGTGCCGCTCCAAGGGAGCAGCCCGCATGAGATAAAGTTGCCTGTCCAGCCCGGAGGGGGGTTGCGGCATGGAGGAGAAGGATTTCTGTATCCTGAGGATGGAAGCATGGAACGGTGCTCCCTGCTATCCGTTGCTCTGCGCCGTATGTCTGACCGCGCCGTGTCTGTGTGTCCGTCCGCAGGTATTGGTGGCACCCGGTTCATCTCGTTCGAGGACCGGCACTGGCACAACGACTGCTTCATCTGCGCCAGCTGCAGCAATTCGCTGGTCGGAAAGGGCTTCATCACCGACGGCTCGGATATCCTCTGCCCCGAGTGCGCCAAGCAGCGGCTAATGTGAGCTGCTGACACCTGGCGGGCGCGGCCAGAAGCTGAAGTTGCGCCGACGGGCGCGTGGGGGCTGAGGTGTGCCGAGCCGGGCCGAGCGCTGATGGAGGCTCGGAAAGTGTGACACTTCTATCTTTCTCTATTTTGTGTTGGTAGACATTTGCGCGAGTGAGTGGTGCGCGGAGTGAGTGGTTAGGCGTGCAATATCATGAATTTTATACATGGGTGCTAGGACGTGACACGAAGAGACACACGGTGAGCGGGCGTGCTGTGGCGGGCCACCCGGCCCTGCCCGCGCCGCCCACCGCTGCACACGGCACACACTAGTCACAGCACACACCCCACTGACGCCGCACACAGACAGACACACGGAGCACAGACAGAGTGTCACGTCCCGGCCGAGCGCGCCGGCCGGTCGACAGGAGAGAGTCCGAGAGCGCGCGCGAGAGGGAGGGAGAAGAGTGGCGCGCAGAGCGCTGACCGAGCGGACGACGAGTGAGAGAGAGTGGAGCGCAGCGGTCCGCCAGACGGCGGGCAGAGCCGCGCCAGCCACCGATTGACTAACCCGTCTCCATTAACCCGTAGTCGGGCCGGTGGGGGCGGCGGCGTCCTCGTAGTGGGAGCGCCCGCCCCCGCCGCCGTCCCGTCGCCCGTCGCCGCCGCCGCTGCCGCCGACACGGCAGCGGAGAGCGCGCGCGTGCGTGATATATGCTGAACCTGCTAGTCGGCTGTCGCTTGACTCGATTGCGTTTTACCCGTAGGGATCATGATGATTTGAGATGTTGTATTTATTTCCTGCGCGTGCCGCCTCCGAGGGCGAGTGTTACAGGCCTGTATATAGAAGAACGAGCGCTGCGGCGGCACGCGAGACATGCCTTACAGCCTGGACTCGGGGCCTTACTGTCTCAAGGCTACTGGCGTATGGGTCAGAAAGAACAGTATATATTTCCTTCCACCGTAACAAGGCCTTCCTTTCCACCCATACATGTAACTTCAGTTGACCCGAGCGTACACAGTAACCTATCAGTCTGCTGGCCGGGCTGCGCGGATCTTCCGGGACCCCTCTGGAAGGCCAGGGGGGCAGTGGCCCCTCCGGCCACCGAGGCGTCTCCGGGGGACCCCGGCTCCACCTGCAGAGTTCCAAATTCGAGCCAGTATCCGCCTTTAGATTATTTCCCAAGTTTTTTGTTCCTTTGTCCCCTCGAGGAGTGTTGTTCTATCGACTCCCTGCCGTCCTGTTCAAGAGTTCTCCTCGAATGTCATGTGGGTAGTTATTTTTATTTTTGAACTTTCACCATCTTTTATGTATGTTGGCTGTTGTTAATATTTCGCTTGTGGAAGGAAATAAACGCTTGATTAACCATTGTCTGCCACTTTTGGTAGGTGTATTCGCGCGACACAAACACCGAATTACACCTGACGGAAAAAACGAGCAGGAAAACCGAAACGAACTAAACACTGACGCAAAATTTGCTACAAGGCGGTATTATTGTGTCCATCACAATCAGTTTCACTCATTCAAGTGCCGACCAACACTCCTGGCATAAATGAGATCCGACGGATAGTGTTGACAGATATTGCACATAATTATTGTCTCAGGCATAGAAGTCACAAACCTCACATTATGACGGTAGACGAACAGCCAGGCAAAGTATTGGGTGCTACCATCAGTCAGCCTTCCATCGCCAGCTTTTACATACGATTTTCAGTACCTAATTGGTTAGTGCTAAGAAGTACACTGGTATGATATTCATTGTTCAGCCTGAATCTGTTAGCCGGCTCTCACATGACTGTCAAGTGTCAACTGTTGAAGACCGGCACAAGCACACGTCCTCTGTATCACCACCAGATGGCTCATTCGCTGCCAGCTCCGGCAGTGAATATCAGCCCACGTCTCTCAATCACAGTGTCTCCTCCCAAGCGGCCCTCTTATTTATCGTCAGGACGCACCAGTCCTTGTCCTCAGCATCTCAAAGCCCTGTTCTGGACTGGACGGTCACGATCCGGCGTGAGTAGCTCCTCAGGAGCGGGCTCACATGTGCTGGGGAGACCGCTGGGTGGCCTGTTCCTCGTCACGGGGTCAGCCGTGGCGGCGTATCACACGGTCGCCGCCCTGGGCCGCACCCATCTCACCCCTGTTTTATCATTCGGCTCTGAAATTGTCTTAATTAGACTCAACAAAACAAAGAACCATCACAGTCGTCACAATTTGCTGGGAGGCCTCCCCACCACCGTAGCAGTTCTCGGAACCCTCTGGGGTCACATATTTAGCCAGCTTAGCCGTTCACTCGGACTTTCCAAGACATATAATTACTACAGAGGTCCGCTGTAGCGAGGGGATTTAGAAAAGAAGAAGAAAGAGAGGATAATAACTGCTTCCTTGCGGGTAATCAAACGCCTTCTTTGCGGTTGATCCAGCACCGCGGTCCACTGTCGTTCAGCTGGTTGTAGAGGAACAGAGCTATTTGCTGCTGGAATGAACTCGATAGTTGAACTGGTAGAACAGGGGAGCTTGAGAGTCTTGGAAAAGATCCCGAGATAGATCTAGAGAGAGATCCAGATAGTGATGAGATCCTGAGATAGATGTAGATATAGATCCACCTGATAGAGATCTTGAGATGGTGTTGAGATCCACCTGAGGGAGATGTCTAGAGATCCACCTTGCATACAAATACATCTGATGGAAGATGCTTTTTAATTTAGAGGCTTGATGATTCTGTTCATTGTATAGACCATGATGCACGAGATGCTTCTTCACTGCTCGGATTAGGGATAGAGGTATCCGATCAGCTGGGTTTGCGGCACAGTTGGGCAGGTGAAGGACAGGGCATTCGAAGTCCCGATGACCACTGCCAAACATATGGGTGGTAATTACATTGATAAATTGAATGTGATCATTCGTCCAGTCACCCATTCCTATATCACTGGCCTTCCCATTAAGAAAATTGCCCACTTAATTCGTATTAGCGTTGCTAGTTTTAAGTTGCCCTCGAGATTAATTAGTTTGACTGTCCTAACTGAGCTTCGCTAAACTCCCATCGGCCTTATCCTAAGATTCATCCTTTACCATTCTCACTCTCATCCTCTCTCTACGTTCGTTCGTCATATATTCACCCCAAATTTATTTAGCGCCCCTCGAATTCCCTCCGATGGCGTTAGGTGCCTGACTAATAGCGATCTCCCCGGCGAGATAAATGTCTCTTTCCGAAATTCATATGCATGCTCCGCTAACCGGCGACAAAGATACTTACCGCAGGGCCGTCCAGAATAATTGCATAAATATCCACCCTACTAATTTATGGGATTCACTACACGACCGATAGACTTATGGTACACACATACACGATTTATATCCGACTTATCTCTCTACCGGGAGAGATTACCTATGCCCTCTTCCGGTCCGCGTGTAACATTCCCGTTCACGACCCAGGGACCCTAGTTCATATCCTGGAACTATCCTTAACCATGGGATTTACTATTCAAGGCCTTACGTGTCCTGGAGTACATTCTTCCCTCCCCTGAGGCTGTCCAGTACCGATTAGAGTACCTTTACGAAATAAGTATGAGGACTTATCCGGGACACTACGGCTCGCCTTATCCGCCCTTTGGGTGACTCACCCCTGACCTTCGGCTTCTTGCCTTTGGCATAACTTACTCTCCACTGCATACTGTGCCAATCTTCCCCTTCCCCCCTGCCGTAGAAACCTCTCACTGCCTTCTCACCCAGTGTTACCTAAGCGGGAAAATTAACAGTGGCCGGTACCACTGGCGGAAAACGTGCATATGCCCTGCGTACGTGACGGTGTGTCCCTCTTATTATTCCGGTCTGGACGTGGGTTTCGAGAAGTGCATCTGTGTCTCATACAGTCATGCTGGTAAACGTTACGCCATAGGAGGCGGGCAAACAAGCCGTCTGTGCCTCACAATGCCCTGTGCCAATATTGTTGGAGTAATTATTGGCGCTAACTCGCAAGAACGCGAATAGCAGAAACGCATAATTTAACCAAATCTAATCGTAATCTCAAGTCCTAATTGCTGCTACACGCGTGAACCTTATCATCAGTTCTCGTATACAATCCTAGCAGACCTTGAACCGCTCTTGATTTAATCAGACATATGATCTAGAACCAATTAACACGCATCGATCTGCCGTCTGGTTGTGATCCACCGTACCATAGTGAATTACTGAATGCTCAAACGGAAATGCCTCCTTGAAACTCGTTCGATAGCTTCTGATGGGCTACTAGTTACCTAAACAAATTATCTTTATAGAGTGCCAGAATATTGTCATAGGGTCCCTAGCCTTTCATAGGGAATCTAATTTAAATCATCCTATTAGCAGTAAACAATGCGCATCAAACGAAGTGCAGTCCTAGATATCATATAGCATATCATATTTAACTGTCTACGTTCTTATCCCGTTGCAACTTTCCGCAACTAACCAGACTCCTATACGTGACCTTCACCTACCGCCCGCGCCCCAATTACGGCTAACCCACTGCCCCTGTTGTGGCTGCTTCTCGCGCCCTCTGGCGGCTCAACGCCCGTGTCGGGAACGACGATTACGACGGCCGCCGGCCGGCGCAGTGGCGCAGCCAGGGGGGGGTCAGAGGGTCAGCTGACCCCCCCGAAATTTTTGTCAGGGGCCCGCTCGAGAGAGAGAGAGAGAGAGAGAGAGAGAGAGAGAGAGAGAGAGAGAGAGAGAGAGAGAGAGAGAGAGAGAGAGAGAGAGAGAGAGAGAGAGAGAGAGAGAGAGAGAGAGAGAGAGAGAGAGAGAGAGAGAGAGAGAGGAGAGAGAGAGAGAGGAGAGAGAGAGAGAGGTCCTAATCTAATCGGACGAGCCCGCTTCGAGAAATGCCCACTGCGACACCTCGGGTGAGGGGTCGGCCTGGGGCCCCAGGTGGACAGGGCCCGGGCCCCGGGTGGATGGAGCCCGGGCCCCCAGGAGAACGGGCCCGGCCCCCTGGGTGGATGGGACCCGGGCCCCCTGTAGATGGGTCCGGGCCCCGGGTGGATAGGGCCCGGGCCCCCCGGTGGATGGGGCCGGGCCCCCCGGTGGATGGATCCGAGCCACCGGGAGAACGGGCCCCGGGTGGACGGGGCCCGGACCCCCGGGTCCCGCGAGAACGGGTCCGGGCCCCTCGGGTGGATGGGGCCCGAGGCTCCGGGAGAACGGGCCCGGGCCCCCTGGGTGGAGGGGGCCCGGGCTCCCGGGTGGATGGGGCCCGGGCCCCCGGGAGAACGGGCCCTGAGCCCCGGGTGGACGGGGCCGGACCCCCGGTTGGATGGGGCCCGAGCCCCGGGAGAACGGGCCCGGGCCCCCTGGATGGATAGGGCACGGGCCCCTGGGTGGATAGGGCACAGGCCCCCGGGTGGATGGGGCCCGGGCCCCGGGAGAACGGGCCCGGGCCCCTTAGGTGGATGGGGCCAGGGCCCCCCGATGGATGGGTCCGGGCCCCCGGGAGTACGGACCCCAGGCCCCGGGTGGACGGGGCCCGGACCCCCGGCTGGATGGGGCCCGGGCCCCCTGGTGGGCGGGCCCCGGAGCCCCGGGTGGACGGGGCCCGGAGCCCAGGTGAACGTGGCCCGGGCCCCCGTATGGATAGGGCTTGGTCCCCCATGTGGATAGGGCCCGAGCCCCCGGGTGAATTGGGCCCGCTAGGGTGACCCGCTTGCTTCGCAACGCGAATAAGGGGTATTTTCGATCGGTGGGCGTTTGGTTGGTCTTATGTCTGTGGGTTATGTATCCATTTCGGTCGATTGCCTTTTGACGGCTAAGCATTTTGGTTTTGGGAAAAAATATCCATCGCATCGAGGTGCTCGTGTCTGATAATAACCATGCGTTCTACTATAGAACATGCCAAGTGTATTTCATGACATAGGTTGGCGTAGGTTATTGAAGAGTGAAAGCCATCGATGAATTACTATGTAGAGGTTTGAAACATTTATATTCTTAAGAACATTGTTGCTCGTCATGCAAAAGCGATGATTGGACCTTGGTCACATTTGAATGCTCTTCCAATCTATGCCCATTTCAATTGTCAAACATACCAGGTTATGTAGCAAAACCCCTGTAATTAAGTAAGTCATAAGCAAATGCTATTTTCTCCAGCAATTTGTTCCACCTTGTTTTTGATCAATTAGCTTTTCACAATTTTCCCATGAGAGGCGGTAGGTAGTGGTACATTTCTCTTGCCAACAAGCGTTGTTTGAACCCGCTCCGTCTGACAGTCACCCAAAAATAGCATTAAGTCCAAAATCCGTCCAAAACGTCAATTTTTCAAGCATAAGTGCCCTCACGGGTGCACGTGGCGCGTGCCATCCCTGCACCGCACACCATACAATAGCCCGTTCGATTCTCATGC